GGGGGGATACTCCCACTAGGTTTATATCTGGGACTCTCCACCATTTGACCTTAGAACTGAAGAAGCTTCTCGGATGAGAGGTGAAACGTCTTCAAGTAACTTAAAGAAGTCCAGACGCTTTTCTTTCCAAGCTCCTTAGACCGGCATATTTACATTATTTGAACAGTATGAATGATTTGCTTTGGTACCTGGTCGAACTTAAGCTCTCCTCTGTCTGCTTGTTTGCATTTCTCCTACAGCAAACTCCTGCACAAGCTGATATCCTCGTGTCGTGTTGTTCCCCCATCATCATAATAAATGTTGTTCCAGGTTCAACATTGCAAGTGACCAATCACATTGTTATCACTCATACTTTTGTGACTTCGGGAAAAAAAAAAGACTTTAAAAAATAATCTACTTAACTTGTGAGAAACCGCCTCTGCCTGCCGATCCAGTTACTCACCCCCTCCCTTCCTGTGCGGAATCATAGCATGAACGAATCACTCACTCACCCCCTCCCTCCTGGCTCACAGTTTCTTCTTCTTCTTCCTGGTTAGCAACCAATGTTAAGATGCCTTACCGCCCCCTGGTTCACAGCTCAGTGGACATTTAGATGAGAAAATATGTCTTGATGCATTCTCAATCATCCAGGAAAGTAAATCTCCAAAAGTTGATTCTGTTAATCTGGAGTAGCGTTTTGTGGGAGAAACGTTTTGTCACTCATCCAATCACTTCAGTCTCAGCTGACTGCAGGTTTCAATCTTATAAACAGTACATTTGCATAATGACTGAAACCAGCCCACTGAAGGAACAACGGGCTGGGAGGTCAGTTCCTTAATCTTAATTATGCAAATTTTTATGACCATTGATCAACAACCACTGACCAAAACCCACTGATCAAAGGCCATGAATACCATTCACAGAGAGTTGAGGAATGGCTGCCTTTTACCCACTATGAAGTGGTTTGATTACATTAGACTTGCTGTACTTCTCTTTATGCAGCTGTGTTGCATATTCTTGCTTCTGTATTTCAGTCTCAGTGTTATAAAAAAAAGTACAAAAGTTTATTTTCAGGTACTGCTCAGCTTTGAAAGTCTTTGTGGCGGGGCGTGGCTTGCGGTGCCGTGCAGGGAAGGTGAACGCACCTGCACGGCATCCACTAGGGCTGTGCGATATGACCAACATCTCATATCCCGATATAAAACATCTATCATCTGATAACGATATAAATCACAAAAATGTAACATTTTCTATAAATTCTGTGAATCTCGGGTTGCTGAAGTGTTTCCAGCTGGGCGTCGTGTACCTGGAGTCGAGTGTTTTAACTGATGCATGAATTTACACATTTTTAGACATAGGTTGTATCGGCTGCTGTTTCCTTTGTGAGTATTTATTACACGGCGTGCTGCGGGGGAAAGCCTGTTCTAACGTTTGAGTCTAAGGTTTATTTTTTAGCACCTGACTGCTCCTGTTTGCTTCTCATCCATAAATACTCTGCATACTTTTTCATGTGATTCCATTTATTACGAAAAGTCTAAACAGGATCTTGAGCTTTATTGTGAAAGGTTTATGTGGAAAATAAACAAGCGGACACGCAATGGTTTTACCGTTGTTGTTGCTAACGACAACGCATAAAAACAAGCGCTTGTCTATCTGTAGTATGGTTATATTAAATATAAGAGAAATAGAGAACTTTAATAAATTAATATAGCCACTACAGTGACCATCAAAATGATGAGAAAATATTGCCGTAAACAGTTTATTTTGCGACACCACAAAACAAACGATAGCGTAAAATGAAACGATAGTTGTTTTTATATCATCATCCGATATATATCGTTATTTCGAACACCCCTAGCATCCACAATTATGCCCTGCCGACTTAAACATGGGTCCTGCAGTGGGGGGGTTGTTGTCAGTATGTGTGGCTGGCAGCGAGAGAGAGCTGCAGCTAACAGTGTGTGAACAACCAACCATTAATAAAGAGATGCTGCAAAGCATGAACGTGCACCCGGGTCTGCTGTGGGTTTGTTACAGTCTTTTTATGCCCACTTTCACACATACATCATTTTACTTCCTCCGCTGCACTTCCACATTAGTTTCCAGTTTCCTATTTATGCCTCACCCGAGTGAAGTTGCCCCCCCACCTTCTTCAAAACAAACAAAATTGATGTCAAACGTTTGTGCAGCAAAAATGTCATTTGTGCTGCTTTGTTTTTAAGATGTTAATAAAAGTTTCTAGAGGTCTTCCAAGGTCAACCAGCCCCTTTCTTTACCGTGAAAAGGTTGTGAAACATAAACCAGAATTTGGATATTTTTTATCATAATCACACTCTTTAACCCTTTGAAACCTGAAACCTGAAATAACTGCCAGAAATCTTTCATTTTTTGATAATAGAGTGTTTGTTGAACCTTTAGACAAAATCTATAAGAATATATCAAATTTTAATATATTTATATATATATCTGTATCACATTTGCTACATAAGCCATATTTTTGCAATTTAGTCATTAAAAATGTGTGATCTAATTTAAATCATTTGTTGAGGGCAAAAAAAAGTCACACTGATGATGTAGAAGTCTCAAAAACTCACAAAAAAACCCACGCCGGGCTTTAAAGGGTTAAAGTAAAAAACTAGGTTAACTTATGGTAAATGGCCTGTATTTATATAGCGCTTTACTAGTCCCTAAGGACCCCAAAGCGCTTTACATATCCAGTCATCCACCCATTCACGCACACATTCACACACTGGTGATGGCAGCTACATTGTAGCCACAGCCACCCTGGGGCGCACTGACAGAGGCGAGGCTGCCGAACACTGGCGCCACCGGGCCCTCTGTATATAATAGTTAACCTAAACTATGCATTCTGTCGGAGAAACTTTATTTGCAAAATACAAAACTATAACACACACTAACACACCATGGACCTGTCGAGCCTCTCAAGTTTAATACAATAACTCCAAAATAATAGCTAGTTTATCATAAACCAGCATAAACATAGCAGTTGACTGACAGAAATTTTGTTAATGTGGGGCGGTGGCTGGTTGACCTTTTGACCTTTAATCTTTCATTAATATCTTTAAAACAAAAGCAGCACAAACGTTTGACATCAATTTTGTTTGATTGATTGACCTTTAGACTGAATGCCTTATATGGTTCACATTCAGAAAACAGACACATTACAACACACTGACATTAACATTTTAAAGAGAACAGTATAGTTGTTGCCTGCAGCAAGGTCAAGTGTACAGAAAACTGACTGACTAATGCTTGGGTATAAAAGGATCCAGAGTCTGATCTAGCCCTGTGTACAACAGTGCATTGGAGATGAACCTGCCTGAACCTGCCTGGGTATCATTGACTTGCTGAGATTTTATCAGTATGCAACAGAGCTGTGGGACGAGCCTTTTGAAGGTCGAATGTGTGTAAGAGTGGGTGGGGTTTACTGTGACACAACAACAAACCTATTTAAGCACAGCTGACCACACGGTGACTCTCCATGGTATCATTCTGTATGCTCAGTGTGGTTTTTTTTTTTTTTTTTATCAATGCACTCATTTGATAAATGCATGGTTACAGCTGTCCTCTATGTGTGTCTGTTAAAGCAACAGAGTGCAAGTATATGAGTTGTGTAGAAATCGTCTGTAAACTGCAGGTACAGCAAATGTCTATTTTCTCTAAAAAACTGAGGCGTGTAAAACCGGTTTGGTGGGCCAATTTCAGTAGAAAAGGCGTTCCCAGAGCCTCTGGAAATGTTGAAACCTTTCATTGGTAAAGTAAACAGGGGGCGGAGAAAACAAAGGTGTGGCTCCCTTACAGGGAAAAGTAAGTCATAAGTTCATTCCTTGTCTTCTCTTTACAGCAAAATTCCTAAAGCGCCAGCAAGAACTTGTCAGTGGAATTACATCGTCTTTTTTTCTCCTGTTATAAAAATCCACATTTGTAGACGAAGATGAAACAAAGGTCTGTACGCTACTTTAGTGCTATTTTCTGTTTTCATGTGCATAATCTCAATGGCTTTTCTCTCCTCTTAGGCAGGAAATGGCGGATGATCAGAGCAGAAGTTGGTTTAGGATATCCAGGACTCAGTATTTCGCCATTATTCTGGTAATTGGGGGTGTGTTCTTTATTTACAGCATAAGGGAAATAACCCCAGACTGGAACCCCAAAAAGTGGATGGAAAATCAGTCGTCAAACTTGTGGATTATTTTAGAACGGCAGAAACAAAAAATAATCTCTCTCCACTCTGTGGTTAACGACAACTCATCAACACATCCTCGAACTAATAATATGACATCGGCACCAGAAGTGAAGACAGAAACTGCAGCGGTCGCTCCTCATGTTTCTCCTGGACCATATTTAGTCGAATACCCTTATGAGTACCACTTCATCATAAATGAGCCACAAAAGTGTGAACGAGAAAAACCTTTTGTGGTTCTGATGGTTCCCGTAGCACCAAACAATAGGCGAGACCGTGACATCATCCGCAGCACCTGGGGGAACGACAGGGTTGTGCAGGGCAAAGTGGTGACGCTCTTCTTTTTACTGGGGCTACAGACGGGGCCAGGAGCAGAGCAGGTCCAACAGCAGATGCTTCAGGAGAGCAACAAGCATCACGACCTGATCCAGAGCAACTTTGTGGACTGCTACAAGAATCTCACCATTAAGACCATGGTAATTCTGGAGTGGCTGACTGCGCACTGCTCCGGTGCTTCTTATGCCATGAAGATTGACTCAGACATGTTTCTGAATGTGCACAATCTTGTCAATATGCTCTTGAATGCTCAAAAAACCAACTACATGACTGGACTTGTGATGGGATGGGGTACAGTAGTGAGAGATCCAAGCTCTAAGTGGTACGTACCATCTGACATTTATGCACCAGCTTTCTACCCTGTCTATGCTCTGGGCCTGGGCTACATTATGTCTTTAGACCTCCCTAAAAAGCTCACTGAGGCATCCAGACATGTTAAAGCACTTTACATTGAGGATGTGTATTTAGGGATGTTAATGCACCACCTGGGCATCTCTCCCACTTACTCCCCAAGCGGTGATTACTTCCATGTTTTTCCTTTGGCATATAACCGATGTCTCTTCTCCCGTATAGTAGCCACCACAACTCATCCATCCACTAACCGTGTGGACATTTGGAAAGATTTTAAAAAATCAGGCCCCTGCTGATCTAAGAGAACATAAACAAAGGCTGTATGTTGGAAAATTTTATACTTCCTTTTTTAACTTCCCCCATCTTAAATGTCATTAAAACCTAACCGATGTCGTGCCACTCCATAACTACACACTGTTTTATGCATTAAATACAATTTATTATTTGTACTATCCATGTAGCTGACATCTCAGCACAAGTTTTCTATAGATAAAAAAATACTGAAAACATGAAGCTAGCAAAAGAGAAAAAGAGAAAAAAAAAGCAGACGCTGATATTTCCATGATAACAATGTCGATGTTAACAGGATCAATGTAGGAAAAAAAGACTCTACAGTCTAATGGACTTTAGTTAATGTGATTTTTGTCTCTTATTTGGTAAATAAGTTACATTATAAATACTCATGGAGAGACTCAGCACTAACCTGCACTGTGTAAAGTTTGTAAAGTGAATAATTGCAATTATCTATATTATTATCGTATATGTGTTATAAACACAATATTGCTGATTTATTTTAAAATATCACAGTACTAAAGTTATTGAAAAATACTATAAAATATTAATGGGAAGTTTTTTAAGATTACTGTGTGTGTGTATATATATGTGTATGTATATATATGTATATATATATATGTGTATATATATATATATATATATGTGTGTGTATATATATATATGTATATATATATATGTGTGTATATATGTGTGTGTATATATGTATGTATATATATGTGTGTGTGTGTGTGTGTGTG